TATTGGTAGATGTCCTCACACACACACACACACCTAATGCATGCAAATCTCCCATTGGTAACAAGACTGGAAGTGGAAGAATATTTCAATTTTAATGCAATAGTAGTAGTGATGCGCGATGCCTCAGTAGTGCTAGCACCTTGGTGTTCGCTTTTTCTCAACAACTTTCCTCCTTCATTAATTGCTCAGTGCCCATGCACGCACCCATTAATCGCTACCGTCACACATTTGTGTCATATGCATCACGGAAGTCGAATTCGCATTTTTGTCACGTTTCCCTAATTCCCTCTTCATCCAAAGTCGAGCAGGTTGGGTTGAGGTCAAATTAGGTGACAAAGATAGCCTTTAGAGGCAACCAGAGCCAACCGTTTGCCAGTTGTCGTGTAAATTTGAATTTGTGTCTTTACGGGCAACACTAGCTGATTTGTGCAATTCCGATAAGTAGGCACCCAAATTTCATGGTGAAATAAACATGACAAACGTAATGAATGCGCATTATCCATATACACACAGTGTTCTGCCTCTATCCTTGGCATTCATAGGGAGGAATGAATGAATGTGGGTCATTGGATAGCATCTGTGGGTACCGAATTGGCGAAACATGCAAGAAGATGACATGGGATGACATCATGTCTTATCCCTATGTGGTAGAGTTAAATTCGACCATGCTAAAGTGAGTGGGTGGAAAAATTCCCCACACAGGTTCAACTAGACCATGTATGGAGGTGCTTTAGCAGCACAATGTCGCGTCAGCTTGGCACAGCGGTGTATGGGAGTGTGCTACCATGTGGCATGAAGGGACGCGTTTTCGCGTGGTTGTTGTGGCTCCCAAGTGGAGAGTGCGGGTAGGGTGGTGAGAGTGAATGAGACGCAGAACTTACTCTCAACCCTCTACGTGTCACCTCTACTGACTGCTCATAAGTAGGAAGCGCACATCCAGAGTGTTTTCAAAAACAATTTTTTTAATTGAGTCACACAAACTGTTAACGGCGGCGACGGCGAGTTCTCACCAAACCCACACTCCACCTACCCTCCTCAGCGAGCGAGCGTGCGCGCACCTTGTTGATGTGACTCATCCGCGCTAGTCAATGGACCAATAAGATGACCACGCTGCCCGCCGGTTGGCTGCTCGGTTAGGAGCGCAGAGCGCTGAGCTGCAAACAACTTTACCACCGATGGATGGATGGATGCGTGGATGGATGGGTGGTTGGATGAGTGGGCGGACGGGTGGGTGGATGGATGGATGGATGGATGGATGGATGTAGAGGCACAGAAGAAGAGTGAAACAAGAGGTGGAAGAGAATAGATGGCCAGTGGATTTATAAATGGGCAGATAGGTCGGTCGGTAGGTAGACGGCGACAGCAGGCGTGTAGAGAGGTAGACGAGAGTAGCGGGTACTCATGCAGACGACGTGTAAGTAAATTAGAAAGTACAATTCCAATGTTTTACAAGAATCGCAGTGTAATGGATGCACAATTGGAGGAATTACCTTGCCCACGTCCCACATGCGAAATGCAATCAGCAGGCGTGCTTGGGCATCTGCTACCACGAATGCACAAGCTAATTAACTAACAGGTTAAATGCAACCAAATTATTGTTAAAACTGCAGACACACGCGTCTACGGCCGCCTCATCCCAATGACTTTGCATCAGACAGAGACACCCACATTTGTCGCCCAATTGGCGTTACACGGTGTGTTTTCATTGTTCCACCAACCAAATTGCGCCACATTTACTACTCTGATGTGAGAATGATTCTTCCACCACCGCACGCCCCAGCACTTGCCTGCAATAGCCGAGCAGTGTACATTAGGGGCATGTGAAGCGCCCCACCCCACCCCACCGCTTTTCTGTGGTTACAACAGTTGACGCGGCAAATTCTACTGCAAAACATTTCTCCAGTCGGATGTGTAATTCATCATTCTGTAATGTTGAATTCATGTGTTATTGTGCCAATAAATGTGGAGGGCTGGCGAAAATGAAGTATGTTTACCCTCGCCACATCGCGCAAATCTTTTCATGCCTATAGCTGCATGGTATAATTTTTATTTCCCCCACTCCCACCCCCACCCCCACCCCCAGCTCCCCCACACTCAGCCTCCCACCCACTCGTACAAAACTCGTATGTCAAGCGGACACTTTACAGACTGGAGGCAATGGGACACGAATGAGAAATGGAAGGAATCAATGTCATGATTGCAGGCGTATTAGCTTCCGTCCAGCCGCTCACTTGTGACCGCAATCCTTGCACGTAGCAAAGTTTCCACCCAAAACAGTGGCTTCCATGTCAAATTGGCCAGTGAGGTGTCCTACAAAGTGCATAACACTTTTGCAATTTGTCAATCTACTTCATGCCTACTTAGAGGCACAACATTTACCCCTTCGGTGGGCAGCAATTCATACGCATACGTCACTTTGTGCATACAGTAGGCGTTTAAAAAATGGCTGCTACAAGAGAAATTGAATAAATTTAAGTTAGCACACTGACTGTTTTGTTCTTCCAAAGTGTTGGAACGATACACCTACTTAACATTATCAATCTGTTGCTGAATGTGACAAGCGATGTGTAATCCAGACACCGCTTATCAACTCCATGAAGGCGAGTCCACTGAGGAGCCGTGGGTTGTTCAACTGACGTCAGGGGAAGGCATTCAACGGTGATCTGCTGTTGCTCCAGTTGGCCTCCATCAACCACCACGCATCCATTGAAGTAGGCGATTCCTGGACGGGAGAGTGCCTCTAACATCGGGTTGAGCTCAATCCATCGCCATCCGCCCTCACCCGAGGGATCTTCTACCAACATTTCAGCACCATTCCATCCACCAACAACGACGATTCCGATGTGTGGGATATTTAAGGCCGAAGTACACTGACGCGCTGATGGCATATCTGGGAGTCGAGTGAACCTAAACTGGGTGACCTAGCTTCATCAAACCTACTCGCCGGTGGTGGTGTCCAATTTTTCGCAAGTAGGAACACATTCACCATTTGAGATGCCGCCAAAAATGAAGATTGATTCATTTCTCGCAGCAAAAGAATACCAACAGCGTTGCTGCCCTTTGAAGGGGAATTTGGTAATGCAGCGATTTCGGTAATCCACTGACCAAAAAGACTTTCTTCATTCCAATTATCAAGGGCATAATACTTGCCTAGAAGGTGGGGGAATAAAACCGCCTGCTCAATTTACTACTCAGTACAGTCGATACATTATGGCCTGGAACTTCAGCACTAAACGATTCGTCCGGTTGCAACTGTGGCGCAGACTTCAAAATCCACGCTCCTGCGGTTATTTCCATCCCGGTGATGATAAGCACCTCCCTAGACATTTGCAAAGAATCAGCACAGTGCGGGCGTGCAGAGCGCTATTAGGGTTGTTATGACAAAGGCAATTCCGCAGTGTCAGATCATGCAAATAGGAGAACTTATCGAATCGGCTACTGGGATTTGGAAGGAGTGGTCACGCTATTAGCAGAAATGATGTACGTACTTGCAACGTGGTGGATGACTAGAAAGCATCTTTGTAAATGCCTCCGCCCTTTCCGCCACATCACGCCCCTTGCGTTCTCCATACAGCCATTTAGAAAGCGCTTGTAACTTGGTTACCGCACTCACACCGCCCTGGCAAATCCTCTCCAGTAGCACGTCGAAGTGCTTACTTACTGTGATTCGCAGATCATTCAGTTTGCGCTGTTCCCGAAAGAGGCAAAACTTCTGCCTCACAGATGAGACTGCAGTCTCATCCAAGTAGCTCACCGTCTCCATCACTTGCTGAAGAGTTGTAGTGTAAGTGAGGGTGCGACGAAGTGCCTATTATGCTGAGCACAAAACGCGTGGGATTGGATGAAGAACGTCCACGAAGGTGTCGTGCGTTGCGTTGAGAGGTCATTGAGCAGCCACAGGCTTCAACGCGACTCCTCTACAATTGGTTGCTTTAAGCTCGATCTCCACGATTCACTTTACATTTTTCTGACTTAGCTTTTAGCCTTTTATCCACCTACCTGGCAGAGAATGCACCAGACATTCCTGTCCCTCATGAGCTTAGCATTATAGATGGAAATGGGAGAAGCAATTAGTACTGAATGCCACTGATTGGTGAGTGGTGTGAATGTTGTGCAAGTCTAGACTAGCACAAGATGCCCATTTGGACAGTCCATGTCCGCACCAGCTGTGAAGGCATCCCAAGTCTGCCAGACGTGTCGATTGTGCGCGAGATGATGGACGTACCGTGCCATGAAGGTTACTGGTGTGCTTCAAGTCACCATCCCCTTGAGGAATGTGTACTTCTACACTTCTTTATCTGAAATGGCTTTCAGTCTTGTGTTTAACCAAAGTAGATGAAAATAAGACTGCTTCATCCCTATCAACTCAGCTTCGGGTGAATTTAGCCTATTAGCCTGGACAGTCACTGATATTTAACCTCACGCCATCAACTTATGTGCAAGCCTTTGTAATTGCTCTGCTTGCCAATTCACTTCACTCACTTCTCTTCGAATTTTTTTATTTGCCCAATCCATCTCTGCAGAGGTTGGGGCGTTGCCTCCAACCTGACAGTGATGGTAAATGCAATCCACGTCGAAGTGATCCACTTGCGATGTGAGTGCGCTTACGGAGAATGTGAAATTCAATTAGCGCCACCCAACCGCTGGAGGAGTGTGGTGGCTGTTGCTCACCCACAAAGGGCGAGAAAGGCGACAGCCAAATGTCGACGCAAATGGAGAGAGTAATGAAATTAGAGTTGCGCAAATCCTGTGTGTGGGGTCTTATGCACCAGTGGGGCACTGAGCAATTAATGAAGGACGAAAGTTGTTGAGAAAAAGCGAACACCAAGGCGCTAGCACTACTGAGGCATCGCGCATCACTACTACTATTGCATTAAAATTGAAATATTCTTCCACTTCCAGTCTTGTTACCAATGGGAGATTTGCATGCATTAGGTGTGTGTGTGTGTGAGGACATCTACCAAT